CCCCAAAACCCCAAAACCCCAAAACCCCTCATTCTGAAATTGACTACCAGTAAGAAATGTTTGTGAAATAAAAATTTGAATAAGTAGCATAATGACAATAATCACAAATCTATTATTTGCTCGAGCACACTTTCTTAAGTTACATTCAATTTATTAACGTATTTTATCTGAGGTGTAAGTTACAAGATACAGGAAGACCCAACGAATCTCATCTAATCATTAAATCTCCCGCAGCAATTATTCCATATTAAATATTTGTTTTAGCGCGTTTAGCCACTAGCAAAAATGGGTATCATTCTGTTAAGCCACACAGACACCTACACATAGCTCATGATTTATTCATCTTAGTAAATTTCGTAATTCGGCCAATTAGAAATTCCTAGTATTATTTAAGAGTTATTCTCTTTATGAAAATTTGCAAATTCCATTAACTCGTACTCCTTCTCACCCCTAGTCCATATGTCATTGCAAATAGCCAGTCCAAATCTTATAACCTAGTTTATCCTTGCAATCTTAATGTCCAAATATTCATAGTTTGGACCTGGAGTAATGTAAATAACCTCAGTATAATATAGTAGGTGCTTCCTATAGTTTTTTAATATTTCGCCTTTTTCAGACACTATCAGCATTGAGTTATAGAGGCGTCTTTCTTTTTCATCCCGTTCTAAGTATCCATGTACCACTACAGATTTAAATTTAATGGCAGTTTGCTTTGCCCATTCGTAATATGGGCCTTAACCTTATACACATGCATGCTTGTAGGCTTCATCAAAAGTATCAAAGTCTTCATTCATGAAGGATAACTCGGGCAAGGTAATAACATCAATATTATCTTCAGGGGAATACTATAACATTATCAAATAAAATTCATAAATTAAGAATAGACAATAAAATTTACCTTTGAAAGCATTTCAGTAACTTTCTTGATGGTCTCACAAGGGCTGCTATGAATCACTTCATATTAAAATAGAAGAAATTTAATCTTGACTCTTGAATCTTCCATTCCTAGTATGTTTTCCAAACACTTACCTTTAATATTCTTAATATGAATTATTTTTGCAAACTCATCATGAGTTATACCCCTCTATTTACTTTTTGGGGTTTTGGGGTTTTGGGGTTTTGGGG